TTTGGAAAGAAGAAGAATAGTCGAAATAAAAAGAAAAAAAGAAGTCAAAGAAAAAGAAAAAAAACCTATAATATTTATGTATTATTCATGCATACTTGATAATATATTTTTTTATAGTTCATTACATATATAAACGATGACGACATATCTAATCTGTTTTTAAAAAAAAAATAAAAAAATACATTTAGTAAGAATAAATATTTTCGAATAATACTGTTTACTCTGTTTTAATTTCAAATATCTCAATAGCACAAATGATGCAAGATGACAGTTTGGTATTTTCAACACATTCTCGAAATTTACAAAAATATAGTGACAGATTTAATCAATTGGTTATGTTTTAATTAATAAAATTTTCCGTTAACACCTTGCGCGGGAAAATTACCTAGTTGATAAATATGAGTAACCAAGTAACAAACATAAAAAGAAAGAGCGATGTTAAATGAATCTTGACTCTCAATTTGTTAAAAAAAAATTAAGGAAGCGGAATGTTTTCATCTGAAATCCGTAAAAAAAATATAGTTGTTTTTTTTACATCAAATATCTTAAATCTATATATATATATATTTAACTATGTGTATTTTTTTCCAGGAAAAGACTAATTAATTATGAAAGTATTAAAGTTACATAGTCATTATGAAGGAAAGGGGTTAACGACAAAGGAGGATTGATAAACCAGAAAAGAAAGAAGGAAGAGAATTCCGATTCTTGGCTATGGGCCGGTTTATTATATTGGCGATACACAAACTGGAATTCCACACTTCTAAATTTCAATGCTCATTTCCATATCCCAAAGTCTTTATCTTCACCATTTAAGTTCTTGATTAAGTTCCTGCAATCCCCTTCAAAGATGACATGTTGAAAACTCATCATATAAGATGATTGGAGAGCAGATAAAAGTGATTTTCCTTCAGCTTCCAGAGCAGAGTTTGCTTCACCTAGAAACATCGAACCCCAATATTTTGCCACCCTGTTTCATCCCTCAGAATCCATCCGCTTGAAGCTTCTCCGGAGGAAGGATTGTAAGCAGTATCAAAGTTGCATTTGAACACACCAGAGGGGGGACGAGACCAAGACTTATAGACCAAGGCTAAAATTTATGTGTATATAGAGATCATTCATCCCTTTTTAAATGGTTAATATAATTTTGAAAAGGAAAAATGAAAGAAATAGAAAATAGATAGGGCTTGAAGAAGAGGAAAGCTTTCGTCATCCTCTTGGCTCTTTTCATAATATTGGTTCAGATATGACTAACTCCATACTTGCACCTACAGTTATTCCATCCAGACCTCTCTTTTTTGTCAGTTTTTTTTTTGGATCTAATGTAACTTCTTTTACTACAATTGATCAATTTATTAATGAAAATATCGGCAGCCAAAAAACCAAAAAATAATCAAATGACCTTTACTTGTATAAAAAAACAAACAATGAAAGAAAATCAGTGATTTGATCTTCAAGGTATTATTTAACCTTGCTGGATTTGAGCCAAACTTGGAACATAAGAGAATATAAATGGGGGCAGTGAATCACCAAAAGGGATCTCTCTGTATTCAGTATCCTCTCGAATAATGCATACAATGTTCCTGAAGGTCTCGTCTTCGTCTCTTGCATCAAACCACACGGCCACTTTTTTCTCCTCGTCGATGAAGAAACTTAGGTTATGCAGAAACAACTAATGAGGACGAGTGCTTAATTCCACTAACAAGAATTTTCTCCACGACAAGACTTTGGTGTGATCAGTCTTATCACTGGTCGTCACCCAAATCTCTATCTCTACTTTACGTTGCCTCTGATGTAACACTGAAAGTTGTTCTTCTCTAACAACTGAGAGAGCCAAAGTATCAACATAACGACTCGAAAACGAAAGACATAGACGTCTAAGTTTCTCTGTTGTAAAATCAAAACTGACTAGGAAGATAGACCTATTAGTGTTATCTAAAACAAGCAAGTAACTATTCCCCTTCAAAGACACGCCAGTTTTTAGTATGACGCAGTCGACAAGGACCTCTTCAAGAACCCTCCATGAATCAGAGCTCAACTCATATATTTCAAACCGAACGGGTTGGATATCCTCAGACAAGTCAAAAAATATACCCCAACACCTCAAGATTTTGTAGCTATGGCAAGATTTGTTGTTTTCGTATCCAAGAGCAACCCTAGAGTAATTTTGTCTCTGCTTACAGTTTCCGGGTTGGATCCACTTGGTTTGGCCATTACAAGGGTTCCAAACAACGAGTCTATCATCACCGGTGGTGCATAACAATAAACCATCACAATGAAAGACTTTAGAAATAACAACCTGTTCTGAAATTTGATGGAGATCGGTTAGGCGAAGTCCACCCTTAAACATTGTAGTTGGATCAACAATGTTGCTGTAAATTCCATGGAGATTGACTCTCGAAATCCTAGAATCAGTCAACTTTAGAACCAAATATTGCTTTGCTGCTTTATCCAAGTGCTTCTTGATAAACTCCGGATCTTTAAACAAAGTATTTCATCGTTTGCAAGTTGATTGTAGTTGACCCTTTGATGTGGCTGGAGCCTTAGAGAGTATCTCCTCTACCAACTCGCTTGGAAGATCGAGCAGTCTCAATGTATTTCTTTTCATCTCACAATGAAGAATAGAGCGAAATTCGGCTGGATACTTAGAAATTAGGGTTTTGACAATCAAGAGCCGAGTCCCCTTTAACTATCTCTTTCAATTTTAATTTCCTACGTGAACTCGTTTGTCTATATTCACATAAAATAAGTTGACAAAAAGGAACAAAAAAAAAACCAACAAAAAAAAATTTTACGAGAAAAAAAAACAAATAAATAAAAAAGAAGCATAGAAGTTTTACAAGAAAACATAGAAAAACCAATAGAAAAAAAAAACAAACGAATTCAAAGCTAGAAAAGAGTTAAGAAAACTCATTGGTATCACAGTACTGAGAGGAGCTCGCAATATGGGATCCCATTGACCGCCTCAGTGGCAAAGGCAGCAAGTTCAGGCTAAAGTTTAGTCGTCATTCGTCAAGCAGTTATCCCCTTCCAAATGATAATGAGGGCTGAGACATCTTGGCGGTTATTGTCAGTTCTCTGCGAAAATTTAGAGGAATATCTCTCAAGGCATTCTCAGAAGAAAATTCACTAAAGGATGGGATAATATTGTTGATAAAATATCTCCTTCACAAAATGATCCAACAGGTTTGTTTCCTCTTAGGTTTGCTATTCAAAGTACGGCCTATCAAATTTGGATGGGACGCAATCGAAGGAATCTTGGATCAATGACCCTAAACATATAGACTCCGAAGTAAAATCGACAAGTCTATCCAGAATAAACATATCTCTATCCTTGTCAATGAGATGATGGTTATGACTATCTCCTAATAGTTTGTGTTCTGTGCCCGAGGACGAGGCCTAAGTGAGAAAGAGTTATTCTAAAATGAGAAAAATTAAAACTTAAGATTTATGAGATTAAGCTTGTGTAACTTAATTACTAAGAAAGGGTTATTCTTTAATAAGAGAGATGAAAACTTAGACTGATGAGAAGAATAATTTAGTATGAGTAACCAAGAATAAAAATAAAGGAAAGAGTGATGGTAAATGAACTAATTTGAACCTCAATTTGTTAAAGAACGAATGTCACTGAATTTTCCATCGGAAACTTGTCAAGTAGTTGCTTATAACTGTTATATAATCTTTTGAATTTCCGTCAGATATCCGTCGCAAGTTATCTAAATTTTATGTGTGTATATATATATATATATATATATACAGATCATTCATCCCTTTTCCAAATGGTTGATATAATGTTAAACAGGAAAAAAAGAAAGAAAGAAAAAATAGATAGGGCTTGAAGACACACACCTACACTTATTCAGTCCAGACCAATGTAACTTCCTTTACTACAATTAATGAATCAATCGACAGCCAAAAAAACCATAAATTAATCAAACGACGTCTACTACAAAAACAACAACGAAAGGAAAAACCGTGGTTTGAGCCTCAAGGTACATATTATTCAACCTTTCTGATTTGAGCCAAACTTGGAAAATAAGTCAACATATATGGCCACCGTAATTTGTCTGTATATACAGAAGAGATTTCTCTGTATTCATTATCCTCTCCAAAAATGCATACAATTTCCCTGCTGGTCTGATCTTTGTGTATTGAATAATAACACACGGCCACTTTTTTCTCCACGTCGATGAGAAGAAACTTCGGATACACCAAAACATCCAATCATGATGAGTGCTAATATCCACTGCTAAGAATTTTCTCCATGACAAGACTTTGGTGTGATCATTCTTATCATTGGTCGTCACCCAAATCTCAATCTCTGGAGTATCACACCTCTGATGTAACACTGAAATTTGTTCATCTTTAACAACTGAGAGAGCTATAGTATCAACATTCGAGCACCCAAAAGGAAGACACAGACGTCTTAATCTCTCTGTTGTAAAATCAAAACTGAGTAAGAATATAGATTTATCTTTTGTATCTGAAACAACCCAGTAAATATTTCCCATCAAAGACACGCCATTCCATCCTAGTATGAGGCAGTCGAGAAGGGCCTCCTCAAGAACCCTCAATGAATCAGAGCTAAACTCATAGATTTCAAACCGAAGAACCGGTCGGAATTTATTATCCTGAAAGAAGTCAAGATTATCCCAAAGCCTCAAGATTTTGTAGTTATGGCAAGATTTGCTGTTTTCATATCCAAGAGCAACCCTAGATAATGGCTTGTAACTGTTGAATTGGATCCACCTGGTTTGACCATGACAAGGGTTCCAAACGACCAGTTTATCGTCTCTAACGCGGCGTAACAACAAACCATCGCAATGAAAGAAATCAGAAGTACCATCCTGTTCTGAAATATGCTGGAGATCGTTTAGGCTAAGTCTACGCTTAATATCTATAATTGGATCAACAATGTTGCGAATTCCTTGGAGATTGATACTCATCGAATAAATTCTATAATCAATCAACATTAGAACCAAATATCGCTTTGCTGCTTTATCCAAGTGCTTCTTGATGAACACTGGATCTTTAAACAAAGCCTTCCATCGTTTGCAAGTAGATTGTAGTTGACCAAGAGATGTGGCTGGAACCCTAGAGAGTATCTCCTCTACCAAGTCCCTTGGAAGATCGAGCAGTCTCAATGTTTCTCTTTTCATCTCACAATGAAAAAGAGAGCGTGCGTAAGGTGGCTGAATAATTGGAAATTAGGGTTTTGACCTTCACTTTTATCTGCCCAGTCTTCTTATATAGACAATCAAGACTCAAGAGATGACTTCTCTTTTTTGATAGCATATATTCGTAACTTGTATTAGATCGGGAATTGATATTGATTAATCTTTATCGAAAAAAAAGGAAAGGATCATATTAAATAATGGGATGAAGATTCTCTCTTTTTTTTTTTCTAAATGTGAAACTTATTGATGTTTTAAAGGAACGAATGTGTATGTAGAAAACTGCTTTACAAGAAAACAGAGAATAACCAATAAGGAAATAAAACCAAAAAATTCAAAGCTCGGAACATACGTGACTGAGCTGGCCAAGTTTTCTCTCAGATTACTTTTGAGCTGGCCAAGTTTAAAACTAATAAGTGTAAGTTAATCGGTCCTTTATGTTTCGGTTACATTTAACCGGTTTACGGGGTTTTTTTTTGTGGTTCTAACAAAAATAAACAAAACTCAGCTTGCCAGGTTGGTTCGTTAATGTTAATTGGGGTTTTTCTTCTCTAATACCTTAGCTTGACAAAATATCCTAGGATAGTAACTAAAAGTAAAATTATTCATTAATATATTGATCATTTCTTTATTAGGAATATGTTTTATTTAGAGTACAGTATAGATGGAAGAAGCTCCTTATCTATGGAGCAAAGTAGAATAAGAGAGTGAGACATGTTGACATGGAAAAAGAGGGTTTCATGCATCTGCGAGCTTCTTGTTCTGGAAGGAGAGGCTTGAGCGGAGGAATTCTTGTTTGGCAGATGGAGGTTTGATGGTGGTAACGTTAATGAACCTCTGGAACCATTTGCCAGAATCCTTGAGGTTTCTATCATCGAGGTCTGTCCAGTTAACGTAACTGAGTCCGAATCTAACGGTAAAGCCTTTGCAGAATTCATAGTTATCACCAAGAGCCCATGCAAAGTATCCTTTCACGTTGACACGCTTCTCCCTGAAAACAGGAACAGTCATCATTATCTATGTACAATTGATGGTGATGATCATATATGTATGTAAATAATGATTATCATATATAGTAGCATCCACTCACTTGATGACTTTACGGAGAAAACAGAGATGACTGCATAGATAATCAATCCGCGAGGAATCGGCAACAGCTTGCTCACGGGTTTCTTCACTAGGAGTACTAATTCCTAATTAAACAGTCATTTTGAGTTGAACAGTCATATGTTAAAATACAGTATACATGTAAAAGTACTATGTATAGATGGAAATAGATGAGTACGTACCGTTCTCGGTGATATAGATTAAAGGGTCACCATATCTGGTCTTGAAATGGTCCATAGTATAATAAATGCCTTTTGGGTAATAATAGCTGTTACCACCGATTTTGTCTTCAGCAAACTGAGAAAGGGGATCAAATAGTTGTTATTTTGCTTAAAGAAGAAAAAAAAAAAGGAATGAAAGATTAGGGGAGTGGTTCATGCATATATACCAGTGGACCAATTATATGACCAGATGCATTCGTATCTGTACACATAAGGATGAAATAACGGATGGTCACTCACAAAGTATATATATTGTAATTAAAATGATATAAATATATAGAAAGGTTGTAATTAAGTGGGATCAATAGAGTGGTACATGAGAGCTTTGTGCCTGCGTCCATCATGGCAGTGTGTTTTTCCGGAGGGCCAGTGTTCTTATTTTCTTGGACATACTGAGTGACGTAATAGTTGAGACCAAGAAAATCATATGAACCAGCAACACTTCTGGCTTCTGCTTCCGTGAAGTTGGGAAGCCGACTACCCACAATTTGCCTCATGATGTCTGGATATCTACCCTTTGTTAGCGGCTCCATGAACCTGATGATCCATGTATTTTCTTACATTAGCTCATGTATACAAGATACATTATTATACTTTAATGTTCAATTTTTTTTGTTTGGAATATATTTATATACGTACCAGCCAAAGAAGAATTCTTTCATCCTCTCGGTTGCTTCGATGCTGGCCTTGTCATTCACATCATATGGAAGAAACCATCTAGTTATCATCACAGTACCGATCTTCCCTCCTTGGAACTGTGGACACGATCGATATTCACAATGATATGATTAACTAATTATATAATCAGAATATGTTAGAGATGATTATACAACCTTATATTTCGTCCTGTAAAGATCAACCACCGCGGCATGAGCAAGAAGCTGGTTATGTGCAACGATATAAGGTTCGGTAGAAGAATTTCCGCCGTAACATCTCTCATCAACCGCAGGAGAACATCGTCCCGGTGCATCTGTTCCGATTGCATAGCCTCTCGTAGGCACTGTGTACAGCTGGTTGATAGTGATCCAGTTCTTTACCTTTCCACCAAATTCCTTGAAACATAGATCCGCATAATCTCTAAAATCATCACTGCATGCGCATATTTATACAATCATTTCATCAATGCAATTTGATCAGATAGACAGACCTATATATATATATATATATATGTTTGTTATCTCTCTTCATAAGAAGCATTGCATAAAGAACATACATGATCCTGCGGTCCAAGAAGCCTTCATACTCATCTTGCAGTGTTTGAGGAAGGTCCCAGTGATATAAGGTAACGAAAGGCGTTATCTTCTTTGCGAGGAGGCCATCTATAAGATCGTGGTAGTATTTAAGACCTCCTGGGTTCACTCCCCTACTCACCTTTCCTTCTGCTCATGCATGTATATATTCGTATATTTACTCTTCCAAACAATCATAGTTGAATACAACAACATATATATACATGGTTCGATAATGTGTACATACTTGGAAGGATTCTTGACCACGCAAAAGAAAATCTATAGCCAGTAGCATTGAGTTCGTCCATAACGTCTATATCTTTCTGCAGTTTACGTACACAATTGCATGTCAATCCACATGTAGCTCAGTAGCTGATAGATAATTCAGTGAGTATATATACTGAGAAACTAACCTGCCATCTCGTATATGACTCACAAGTAGTGTCTCCATTCCCCAAATCTGGTCCGGCTTTCTCTGATAGTGTTTACAAATACGTTACTATGAATGTATAAATAGTGACATATCACCAACATTCCTCTCATATATATGTAACCATGCAAACGACATACCTGGGTACCGGTGAGTGAATGCATCCCAAGTGTTAAGACCACGACCTCTGCCTCCTTCGACCTGAAATATAAATAAACGACCATGCAACGTTGGATTTTTAGTGTTTTTGAATGGTGGTTTTTTCATAATACGTGAAAACTGGGGTCTGCCAACACAATGTGTGATTTGTTACATGCCTGGTAAGCAGAAGATGCAACACCGAAGATGAAGTCTTTTCCGAAACTTTTACTGTTTAAACGATCAGTGTTGCTACATGTGAATGGCAAGTTCTCTTCGCAAGTAATTTCTTCATTAGCTTTGCAAGTCGCCACAGCTAACAGAAAAACCAAGGCGAGCCCAAGAAGCTTCATGGTTAATCTGTAGATGTATGTGTGTTGTGTTGTGTTGAACCTTGTACCAATCTAGGGTTTATATAGCCTCTTCTAAGAAGAGTGTACGTATGCATTTCTAGTCTTAGTGTCTTGATAATTTGGGAGAGGTTTAGGTCAGATGAATCCCGTGTGTGTTCACCGATATTAGTTATATTTATTGTTTTGTTTGTTAAAGTGGCTTTCTCTTCCACCAATGGAAATGTAATTTTAACTTGTCTTACTTTTTGGAGAAAAAAAAAAATCATATTGTCATTGTCTTGTTATCATTATTTCTATTGTTATCTAATGCAAATACTTTTTTTAAGCACATGTATTAGGTGTTCCTAACACGACTTATAGGAATACGGCACATCTTCAATTAATCGTCGATACTGATGCACTGCGCATATATTGAAGGTTCGCGCAAAACTAGTATATATCAAGGTTCCTTGTAGTAGATGATGTTCAAACCCTCTTAAGTTGGACTTATTGTAGTTATAATTGATGCCTTATAAAGTCATAGAAAAGTTCTATAGATATATGATCAAGTGTTCAATCTAGTGTAACCATGCGTTGGTGAAGAAGAAAAAAATAATTACAATATTAATCCAAGGCCACACTCATCACGAGCCTCACCGCTAACAATCACAACATTTCTTTATTGATTTTGCCGTTCGATGCTTTATCACATGAAACCAGAGTTTCCAAAAGACTAAAGAAAACGAAAACCAACCAACTTTGTTATTTGGTTAGCGATATATAAAAAAAAAGGACACAGGTTTGCTACTGGTCCTAATACATAGGATGTGCGCCATGTGGCATCACCCAAGCTTGCTTGCTCTATGGCGAGCCAGACGAGACTGGCGATCATCTTTTCTTTGCTTGTTTCGTCTCTTATAATGTTTGGCTGAAATTAAAAAGAAATTATGAATCAAATACAATCCTATTGACATTATCCTCAGTAGGCTGTAGTTTTAAACGAAAGCTTTATTTCATTTGGGAAGAAAGAAAATGGACGCATGCGGCATGCATAATCAAATCCATTACTCACCATTCCACTTCTCACTCGTATGATCATCAACAAAACCATACACATTCCAATCATATCTCTTCGCTACTCCTTAGACTAAAACCCCGGTGATCTGATGACAAGGTGGTGTTATTTCCATAGTTCCATGCTACTATTTGTGTGGTTTTTTTAATAAGGCTCTGCTTTCAGTTTATATTAAGTTGTGGTTTTGATTTACGTTTTATCCCAAATTCGTATGATTATTTTTTTTTTAATAAAAAGTTTTTTTTTTAATTTTGTTGATCTATATAAATTGAGCCAAGACTATGAACGTCAACCTTAGAGGATTTGTGGAGTGAAGCCCATATTTTGTTGGCAACAGCCCAAAAAAATGAGGATTTTTTGTTTTTTAACGGGTGACGGGTGTAAATAAGACTCGTTGCCAGCGAATCCAACTAGCGACTGTAATTAGATTTGTTATCTGTTTCATTGTCGTGC